AGGCTGTGGGGAGAAAGGAACCCTACTCCACTGCTGGTGGGAGTGTAGATTGGTGAAACCACTGTGGAAATCAGTTTGGAGATTCCTCACAAAACTAAGATTGGAAGCCCCACTTAACCCAGCTATTCTCCTTCTGGGTATTTTCCCATAAGAAACATCATACCACAGAGATATACGTGCACCCATGTTTACAGCAGTACAATTTGTCATTGCTAAATCTTGGAAACAACTCAAATGCCCATCCACTGAAGAACAGATAAAAAGATATATTTTTATACAATGGAGTATTACACAGCTATAAAAAAGATAAACCTGAGGCTTTTATAGGTAAATGGATGCAACTACAGACCATATTCATAAGTGAAATAAATTGGACCCACATGTGTAAACATCATATTTGTCTCCCTGGTATAGGAACCTGAAAGAGTAAGTAAAACTCAAAATGTACAACAGATGATATGAAAGGGAAAGAAATTGTTCCAATGAAGGAACAACTGGGATTAGGGAAAGAAGAAAAAAGAAAGAAGGAAGGCAAAGAAAAATAAAAAATATATGTATATATATGAATAGCTGGGATAACTGTACTACCAATGTCTGATGGTATATTGAAAGGAACAGTTAATGCTTAAAATTTTTTATATTCTGACCAATTTTGCATGCTTGTATCTGATAATCTGAGCAACTAATCTGAAGACAACAATACGCAATGGAACAACCACTGGTGAATTCCTACCATCTTGTCTAGTGAAACTCTGTATTATCTCTGATGTTCTATCTAATAATTATTTTTATTCTCTTTAATGCTTTGAACAATCTTCCACTCTTACATCTGGTAATCTGAGCAATGTAGTTGAAGATAACAATATGTAATACAACAATCACTGTTAATTACTATCATTTTGTTTTGAAACTCTGTGCCACTTTTAATGTTCTTGCTTTGTTTTGTTAATGTTTGCCATGTTGGTACGCTATTGTTCTTTTTTCTTCTTTCTTTTACTACCCTCCTTATAATAAACAAAATCCCTATGATGAATGTGATCATTATATATGTGAAAAATGTACCAATATTAACTTTAAAAATAAACATAAAATGAGGATAAAAATGGGCCCGACTTAAAAAAAAAAGGCTCCTACTTCATAAAGAGTTAACACATATACAGTGCATGCAACAGTATTGGACACACGGTAAACCTTGAAAAGTACTTGAAATTACTATCACTGTGAATTGCACAGCAGGGTAACTATAGTCAGTAATAATGTATTACATATTTCAAAGTAAGAATAATTTCAAAGATCTTATCAAGAGAAATGATAGGTAAGTATGGTGCTGGGGATGTTAATCAGCTTTAGAAGGGCCGGGGCACAGCTATAGCTCAGTGGCACAGGAGCCTGCCTGG